CAGCAGCAGCAGCAGCAGCAGCAGCAGCAGCAGGGTTTTGTTTGTGTGTGTGCTGTAGGAACTTTGCTGCGTCTCGCATTGAGAAGCATATAAAGATATGTGAAGCAGCACAGACACAAGAGCTGCTGAAGAAGCAGCGGCAGAGGCTGAGACAGCAGCAGCTGGAGCAGCAGAAGCAGCAGCGGCAGCAGCAGGAGCTGCTGCTGAAGCAGCTGCTGCTCGAGCAGCAGCGAGAGCAGCAACGCCAGCTGCTCCTAAAGCAGCAAGCAGTGAAACAGAGGAGAGATGCAGCAGCAGCAAAGGCTGCTAATGCTGCACGCTGGGCTGCTGCTCGCAGCAGCAACAGCAACAGCAGCAGCAGCAGCAACAGCAACAGCAACAGCAGCAGCAGGCAACGTACAGATGAGATCTTCAGCAGCAGCAGAAACCATACCAGCTGGCAGCAATCTGAGACCGCTGCTGCTGCTGCTGCTGCTGCTTGCCGCTCGGCTGCAGCAGCCTTTGGGGATGCAGGAAGTAACAGCAGCAGCAACAGCAGCAGCAAAAGCATCATCAGCAGCAGCAGCAACAGCAGCAGCAAAAGCATCAGCAGCAGCAACAGCAGCAAGAGGACGCTACGTGCAGAACCTCGTCCACCCTCCCAGAGTCGGGGTACTACAGCAGCAGCAGCAACAGCAACAGCAACAGCAGCAGCAGCAGCAGCGCACGAAGAAACAGGAACTGAAGGAACAGAAGCACCCGCAGCAGCAAAGTCGACGTCAACAGAAGCAGCAGCAGAAGCTGCAGCAGAAGCAGCAGCAGAAGCAGCAGCAACAGCACCCAGTGAAACAGGAGATGGAAGGCACTGCGTCGCTGCCGCAGGAGATGCAGCTGTTGCTGCTGCTGCTGCTGCTGATGGCGCTGCAGATCATGCTCCGTCGGCGGCAGCAGCAACAACAGCAGCAGCAGCAGCAGATGCTGCTGCTGCTGCTGCTGCTGACGAGCCACAACGAAGTGTGGGGATCAGCTGCCTGAGCAGCTCTCCTGGGGATCCGCCTCCCCTGCAGCAAAGCAGCCGTAGCAGCAGCAGCAGCAAACGAGGCAGCAGCAACAGCAACGAGAACTGCAGCAGCAACAACAGCAGCAACAGCAACAGCAACAGCAGCAGCAGGGCTGCTAGCAGCCGCCTTGTTAGTGAGTGCAGCGAGCCAAGGGGGGACCCCACCGAGCAGCAGACGCAGCATGATGAGCAGCAGCAACTGCAGCAGCAGCAGCAGCAGCAGCAG